TTAGGAAGGTTGAGAACCACTGGTCTAGATGAATTCAAACTATCAATGCTCTAATGGTGGGAATGGAAAGTAGCACCATTAATGTAGAGAGCAACAACGGCAGCTCCTCAAGGGGATCCAGAAATTACACCATAAACACATATTAATAAGTATCAAAATCAAGACCAGCAAGATGACTCAGTGGGTAAAGGTGCTTGCTGCCAAGCCTGGTGACCAGAGTTCAATCTCCACATCTAACATGGTAGGAGGAAAGAACCAACTCCCAAAAGTCATCCTCTGATCAACAAATGTGCATACATGAGCACACACAAATAAATGTAATTTTAAGTTATTAAATTGAAAAGAATATTAAAAAAAATTTTTTTTCTGCTTTAGGTGGGAAACATTCCCCAGAGGCTCATGTTCTGAATATTTGGTTTCCAAACAGTGGTGCTTTTGGGGAGATGTTGGAAAGCTGAGGTGGGACCTAGCTGGAGGAAGCAGGTCACTGAGGAGTATTCTGGAATGATATACCTTCTCCTGGATATGAGGTAAACAGCTCTGTCCCGCCAGTCTCTTCAGCCATGATGCTGAGAAATACAGAACCAACATACCATGGCTGATACCTCTGAAACTGGGAGCCAAACTAAATCTCCCTCCCTGAAGTTGTTTTCTCAAGGATTTTGTAACAGAATGAGATGCCTAGTGTACATATGACTATCCTGGGCTCTCTAGGGGAACAGAGACAGCAGAATATACATTGAAGGAGAACCTTGAGATTGGCTTACACAATATGGCTGAAGTAGTCCGACAGTGGCTATCTCACACCAAAGAAATGGCACATGGCAGCTGCTCAGTCCACAAGGCTGGGTACACCAGCCATCATAAGCTGATGCTGAAGGTCTGGGAGTTTCTGGGGAGCCCACATTGGAAGTTCAAAGAAGCTGGTTCTAATATCAGTGAAGGAATCAGCAGTGGCCACAACAGAGGAGATGAACTTGCCAAGGAGATGAACTTGCCGGGGACTGTGAAGGCCAGGAAAGTCAGAAAGGGAAACACCTCTTCCCCCCACCCCCCACCCCGGCATCTTTTTCCCTGTGCGGAAGCAGCAGCCACCCTTCCCACACCAGCAAGGGCAATCAAGTCAGCTGCTCCATGGGCACACCTACAGCCCAACCCAATGTTGACCATCCCTCACAGAGACACTTTTCCCAGGTAATTGGAGATTGTATTCAGTGGATGATTAAAGCTAACCACCATCACATGTATACACAAAAACACTGACACACTGATGTTCATAACAGCATTGTCCATAATACCTGAAAAACAGGGACAACCCACATGCCCACCAACTGATAATGGATGAACAGAATAGGATGTGTCCTGTCCGTACACAGAATGCTTGGCAGTAGTAAAGAATGAGGACTGGTACACACAGCTCCCCAGACAGATCTTAGAACCCTGAGTAGTGACAACAGCCAGTCAGAGAAACACGTACTGAATGACCATTTCCATGAAGTATCTGTGGCAAAGAGACAGAAGTCACCTTAATTGCTTCAGGGTCTGAGGAAGGAATAGAAATTGGGTGGCCTGGTTCCAGGTGGAGTTTCTTTTCAGAGTGATAGCAAAGGCCTAATGTGTTCATGTTTGCACAACTCTGTGAACATACCAAAAACTATTAAACTTCGTGTCTTAGATGGGAAAATGATATGATTTATAAGTTATACGTCTAACAAAGCTGCTGTGCTGAAAAAGGTGCCTCAACCTCTGGCATGTCCTTGCCATTCTGTATCACCTCAGGTATTCTTTCAAATAAAGTATTTGGGGCTGCGGAGATGGCTCAGTGTGTAAAGAACTTGTCATACAAATACGAGGGCAGGCCCAGCACCCAGATAAATGCCAGGTGGGCATGGCAATCTGCCTGCAATCTCAGTGCTTAGGAGGAAGAGATGGGGATCCCCAAAACAACCTGGCTAGGAAAAATTAGATGAATTGGCCAGCTCTGGATTCAAATGAGAGCCTCTGCCTCAGTAGATCATGTAGAGAACAATTATAGAAGACATTCAAAGTGGCTTGGGCCACCACATGCATACGTGTGCTCACATACGATGTGCAAGCACATAGGCACACACACATATACACAAAATAAATAAATAATACAATTAACTAACCAATGATTAATGTATTGCTTATCGTCAACTGTCACAATAGAAGCAAACTTAATGAGAGCAGGTGGGGCCTGTGACTCATCCCTCTCCTTACCCTCAGTGCCTTGAAAAGTGTGGCCAGACACAAGTACTCAACAGATAAGTGCCAGTGAGTGAGAGAGAACACAAGAAATTAAATTAGTAAAATAAAATAGTATTGGGCTCTACTGCCAAGGATCTAGATGTGACTTGGACACCAGTAGGTAAAGACCCAGCACACAGCCAGGAATGGTGTCAAAGAGAGACTTCTCCCCGTGTGTCCTGGTGGTATCGAAGCTCCTCCCTTATGACCCTCCTGCCCTTATTCTGTGCTCTGTGCTGATGAGTCATGTTTAGCTCCTGTAAACATCATGAAAACATTTACCTCCGTCTGACAGGTGAAAAAAACTGAGACTCAGGGACCTGGTGGAACTTGCTGGAAGGATGGCAGCTGGCATGTTGCAGAACAGGGCCGGGAGTTCACACATTCCTCGTTCTCCTACACAGAGCTGCTTCCTCATCTATCCTCACCTACCTCGATTCTCAAGTGTCCCCCAGGCCTCCTCCACAGCACGCCATCGCCCCAGCCTGCTGAAGAGTGTGCAGGCTCTGTAAGAAGACTCCAATTGTGCCTGACCATAAAGCCTGCAAGGGGTTCATACCTTATTCCAAGAGAAGATCTGTGCAGAAGGCAGTATCGACTGAAGTCTATTTCCTCAGCTGCCATTAAAAAAAAAAATGTTTTTCTCTGTAATTGTTGCAAAGGAAGTTCAAGTGCAAACCTCTGAGCCCTGGCTATAGGGTCCCTTGCTTATCACTAAGGATACAATCTTCAAAGCTTGCCTCCCAGTCAGAGCCATCACCAGGCGATAATCCGTGAGGGAAAAGGCCAGAGAAGTCTTAGGGGTTCTAGAAAAGGCTCTTCTGTCTTCTAAATTAAGATTGTGTTTTTCCCTACTGGCCTCCTTTTGCCCTCTAAGAAAACCACAACTGACTTGTGGTTGTATTCTAATTCTCAGTGAATAAAAACAACCCAAATGTCCATCACCAGGGGATAGTTGAACAAATCAATGTTGATACATTCAACAGACAATTCCCACCTCACACTAAAATAACTACTCAATGTGGCATCATCATCTGTGTGTCTATTTCCAATGAAATTAGCAACGTTTGGTTCAGAAAAGACTACAGTGTTTCCTAAGAAGGTAAAGGGAGGGGATGTATTCACTTAGATTAACAAGATGAAATCATGGAAAGTTAACAAGAAGGAAAAATTATTTCAATACAAAGAGAACAAGGGTAAAAGGAATAAGGTAGAGTTTTCCAGAGGCCAAGTAGGGAGAACATCAAGACAGAGAGCAGGAGTGGTCCACCCTGGCAAGTGTAGTCAACAGGAGTGGTCCACACTGGCAAGTGCAGCCAACAGGAGTGGTCCACACTGGTAGGTGCAGCCAACAGGAGTGGTCCACCCTGGCAAGTGCAGTCAACAGGAGTGGTCCACACTGGCAGGTGCAGTCAACAGGAGTGGTCCACACTGGCAGATGCAGTCAACAGGAGTGGTCCACACTGGCAGGTGGAGTCAACAGGAGTGGTTTACCCTCAAAGGTGCAGTCAACAGGAGTGGTCCACCCTGGCAGGTGCAGTCAACAGGAGTGGTCCACCCTGGCAGGTGCAGTCAATAGTCATGTTAACCGTAAGTGTTGTTTGTCTATTTTTTAAGTCATTGAATGCAGGGTTGGGGATGTGGATCAGTTGGTAAAGTGCTTGCTACTCAATCATGAAGACCTGAGCTTGGATCCACCACACCAAGTAAAAAGCCAGGCATGGTGGTATATGCCTATAACCCTACCACTGGGGACACAGAGACAGGTGGATTCCTGAAGCTCACTGGCCAGCCAACTTATCCAAGTCATCAATAAGCTCCAGGTTCAGTGAGAGACCCTGCCTCAAAAAAATAAGGTGGAGGATAATTAAGAAAGATACCCAACATCACCACCTGGCCTCTACATGTACATACACATGTGTAACACAGACATATATGTACGAATAAATAAAACTTCTTAAATTTAAAGTCAAACTACTAAATGCACAGTAATATCTTAAATTAGATCCTGACTCAAAAATAAAAGGGCCTTAAGGACTAGTCTTAGAGTGTGACACAGTGGCAGAGGGATTGCCTAGAATTGAGAGGCCCTGAGTTTCATCCCTAGCCCAGAAAAAAAAGGAACACAATTTATTTTTCATATTAAGAGGAGATTAATGGTAACACATATTAAATAGTTAGGAAGGCCACAGCTTAGCTAATGGCTATTTGTGTGAACTTCATAGTTTCGGCAAATATACTCAGGTGATACATGATGTTACTAATCTGGGGCAAGCCGGATGAAAGATGAATACAGGAATTCTCTGTGCTATCTCTGAGACTTTTCCATAAATCTAAAATTATTCACAAAAAAATATTTTAAAAAAATACATGGCACCTGCTGAATGGCATGTGGAGGAACAGGCGACAATCTTTCTAAAATAAAGGAACTACAGGTCCCCTGCTTTGGATTCTCAACATTTACAGAAACCCTGCATAGCATCAAGACAGAGCTCACCATTCCTCTGGCCACTAGGCACCCTGCACCTGCTCTGAGGTCATGTGTCAAATAGGTCCTAGTTTGTAATGATGTATGTGTTTTGTGTCTGCAAAAACAAGACAAAATTTGAAAACAGAAAGAACCTAGATACAGGACATAAATAACCCAAATCTCAACAACAACAGCAGCCCCTTGGGCCCAAATACAAGCCATTATCTCCTAAATCACAGGGTATAAAAATCAAGGAGAGGGTGCTCTCTTCAGCGGCACATACTAAAATTGGAATGATACAAAGAGGAGTAGCATGGCCCCTGTGCAAGGATGGTATGCAAATTTGTGAAGCATTCCATATTTTTTAAAATCATGGGGAGGGGCTGGAAAGAGTGTATACTGCTCTTCCAAAGGACCCAAGTTCTGCTCCCAGCATCCACAGGGTCAGCACAACCACCTGTAACTCAAGCTCCAGAGAATCTGATGCCCTCTTATGGCCTCCTCAAGCACTACACCATAAGCACATATTGGGGGGGGGGGGGGGGGGGAGACAAAATGGGAATCACAGACCAGGAAGGAATGCACAGTTCCGATTCCATCTTCTTCAAAGGTGTCAACAAAGAGATGTTATCAGACTTGCAGGCTCCATCAGCAACGCATGAACTGGGAGGACCTGAGTTTGGTTCCCCAGGACCCACCTGAAAAAGCCAGGTGTGGCACACACCTGTAAATCCCAGTGGTGACAAGATGGGAGGCAGACACGGCTGAACCACCAAAAGCTCACAGGCCAGCTAGCCTGGCCTATGCGGTACAGTTGTTGGCCTATGAAAGGCTCTTTCTCAAGAAAAATTGGTAGATGCTTAAGGCATCATCACACCTATGGCAGTCCTCTGACCTCCACATGCATGCTGTTCATACACACGCATGCACACACACACACACACACACACACACACACACACACACATACACACACAATACATACTCCCACATGATCACACTCAGAGAAACACATGCACCTAAAACATGTTTTTAAAGATGTCATTGACAGTAGTGCTGCCACCATGCCCTCAGATCAGACCCCTGCCCTGACGGGAGGCAAAGTTGGCAAAGTCTCAACCTTTGAACATGACAGTGAGGGGAGGGGCTTGCAGAGCAGAATGGATGCTGAGGACAGCCCCTCTCCCCACAGGTAACAAGGACTCTTACCTAAACGGACAACCTCTCCTGGTGTAAATGCCCACATGCACAAAGAACCAGTGTCTGCCTTGTCAGCATGAACTCAGATGGAGTGGCACCTGCTATGGCATTCCCTGTGATGGTAGCTGCCATTCCTAAGCCCTGTGCATGTCTACCCACCTTGGAGTCCTCAGTACCATCTAATTACACTTCATCTAAAGATATTCTTGTGTCTATATGAAGAACAGGTCAAGGAGAGAAGGCAGAAGAACCAGTTGTGTGGCTCTGGTGAAAGTGGACAGGTCCATGGCACAAAAGGAAAAGGTTTGGACCATTTGCAGATAAACTAGATATGGAACATGGGAGAAGGACTTGCAACTAATGGAGTTTACCCAGATTCTTTGTTTGTTTGTAGATACACAATTCTCCCAACATCATTTGTTAGTGAGACTATTGTTTGTCTACTGCACATTCTCAGACCCTTTGTCAACACTGGGATTTTTTTTTTTTTTTTGAGCTCTCTGTTCTGTCCCATCGGGCCATGTCTGTCTTTGTACCAGTGCCACACTGATCTGACTACTGTAACTTTACAAAATGTTTTGAAGCCAGGAAATGCGAAGCCTCGAGTTTTGTTCTTTCTCATCAAGACAGGTCTGACTACTCATGAGAGTTTGTAGTTCTACATGAGCTTTTGGATTTTTTTTTATATATTAAATGAAATGTATCTGATGGAGATTGTACTAATCCACATCTCCCACTGGATAATATGGGTATCCTAACAGTGCTCAATATTCCATAAATATTAGCTTTCTTCCTACTTATCTGTATTTTCTCTCATGTATTTCTTTAATGCATTCTAGTGTTTAGTATACAAATGGTTCCATTTCTACATGCTGTATTTATTTATTATGTGTGTACACACATATTATTTGTACATGTGTGTGGTAAAAGGACAGCTTTGAGAAGAAATGGTTCTCTCCTTCTACCATGTGAGTCTTGGGGATTGAACTTGGGACATCAGGGTTGGCAGCAAGTGCCTTTACCCAATGAGCCCTCTCATTGGCCCTCAGTTTCTTAGTTAATCAAACACTAACAAATATATGTAAAGGGCTCAACAGCATGGACCAATATCACTGAATGAAAATGGAAAGTGCACTGAAATGTCAAGTCAAAGCTGTCGGGACAGCTACAGGATGAGACAAGAGCTGCCAGCTCATTCACACCAATGGTGGGAATGAGAGATGACACAGCCACCTTGGAAAACAAAATGGATATTTCTAAAATAAAATTTAAGACGCTAATTACCATATGATCCAGCAGTACCTCATCTGGATACTTATCAAGAATGGATATTGGGATCACAAAGAGGTTTTAGCACCCCCATAGTCATTGCAGCACTATCCACAAGAGTCAAGAAGAGGACACAACCCAAACATCAGTCCACAGATGGGTGGATAGCGAACATGTCATATGCACATGCAATGGAATATTACTCAGACTTAAAAAGGGAAAGTCAGCAACATGAGATTTAGGCTAGACCTTGACGGTGACATGCTAGGTGAAATAAACCAGTCACACAGGGACATATACTGCACAGAGTATCTAAGGCAGGCAGAGTCAAGAATCAGAGTGGAATAGTGTTTTTTAGGAGCAAGAGGGAGAAGATGAGCAGTTACTAATCAACAAGCGTAAATTTGCAGTTAAGCAAGATGCATCACAGAGACACGCTGTCTTTAGTTCCTATAGACAACAACACTGCAGGGAACATGTGAAAAATTGTTTAAAACATACATCTTGGGCTCAGCAGTTAAAAGTACTCATTGCTCTTGCGGAAGACTGAGTTTGGTTCCCAGAACCCACATCAAGCAGCCTGTGATCCCAGCACCAGGGAAATCTGATGCCTCCTCTGACCTGAGTGCAACTTCACTCACATACACATAAATAAAAATAAAATAAATCACAATGTAAAGAACATATACCTCATTCTAAGTATCTTACTACAATAAATTATTTCAAAAATCTGCTTATTGTATGCCTCTTAGGATCAGGCATGCAGCTAGTTGCCAGGTGACATATACACACTAATCCAGGCTGTGTCCTACATTTACTTTGATTATGTGCTGATAAAAGAAAGGCTGTTCAGACAATGCAGACTGCATCTAGCTGACCACCTAGATTGTTCCTAAATTTATTGCTTCTCTAGAGTGAGCAGACAGGTCCCTCACTCTCTCCCTCTTGGGGGCATATTTCAATAACACTGCTTTTTGATAAAGACACATACATAGTCCTGAAATTCAATTTATGAAAGTCAGTTGAGACTGGAGTTTGGATTGAACCTCCCCAAACTGCCTAATTAATGACACACATTATTGCCCCTGCTCTCCTAACTGAATGCAGCCTCCGAACCTTGACGTGTTTTCCCAACGATAAAAATGCAATAAATGAATTAGTGTCTCAGGGGACTGTGGCAAGAAGAGGGGAAGCCAAGAAAGATAGATGATGTCTCAACTAATTTTATGATTTATCGATCTCCACTTTGCTCATTTTGCAACGTGGGGGAGTTCATTTTTCTGTCAGGCCCACAGTAGAGTCACCCTTGCTAATAGACACGATTACCATCCCCGAAACTGTGTTTGTGAAATGAGAGTGGCTCGCTCAGCTGCTGAGCTCAGCAGTTTCCTTCTATTATGTCCTGGATCTGCTAGGAACCAAAATTGATGCTCTTACCAGGGCTCTGTTGGACAGACACAAGCATTTTTCTCATTTTTCTTCTAAACAAGTTCATCTTTAAGCAAGTACAGATTCATGGTTTAAATTACGGAGTTGACACATCATCTGTTTTCAGTGTGGGTATTTTTACAGCAAAGACCTTTCACAGGATCAGACAAAGCAGGGAAGGGGACAGAATGTCACTGCTAACCATTTGGGTCCTGTGACAACTATGGTTTATGGATATACTTGTTAGGACACAATATAAGCTTGTTTGGATGGTTCACTAATTCCATTCAGTAAACATTGATTGGGTACAGAGTGCATCCTAAGTGTTCTTGAGAAATTCATTTATTTAACAAATAACAAATTGGAGAGGATAGATAGATAGATAGATAGATAGATAGATAGATAGACAGATAGATCAATAGAGATAGATAGATAGATAGATAGATAGATAGATAGATAGATAGAAGATAGATAGATAGATAGATAGAAGATAGATAGATAGATAGATAGGGATGTGTGAAGAGACAATATGTTTGTTGGTAGAGATTATTAATAGATATGATACATAAGTGATACATAAGGTAGACACATGATAGATGATAGATAGATAGATAGATAGATAGATAGATAGATAGATAGATAGGAATGAGAGGAGAGAGGATATGTATGTAAATTGATAAATAATAGAATATCAACAGATTATAGATAGATAAATTATTAATAGTATATCAATAAATTCCATTCGCCATTGGAAGGGAGAGTAGATATTTGGGGGTAATAACCCAAACTATTCCATAGAATTGTGTGATCTTAAAAAGTGATTCATGAGGGATTGGAGAGAAGGAAGCTTTATGGATGAGGGGGCAGAGTTTACTGAGATGGTATCAGAGACACAGGCAGAGACCAACCTTTGCTGGGCTGTGTCTACAATTTCAAACAGTTCCTATCCCTGATAAGTGGAAAATGGATTGGAAGAGGCACAAGAACAGAAGAAAGGAGTCCCTTGGGATACTGGTTCCAGGTCCAAATGGGCAGTGCTGGTGCCATAAACTGATCTAGTAACCATGGAAAAGGAAGCGGATTGAGGAACAAGAACAGATGGACGAGACCCACAGGAAAGAATGTTTAACCCTTGACCTCAAAAGGCCAATAATCTATTACATGAGAAAACAATGTACAGAATAGCCATGATATAATGTGGTATGGTTTTTTTTAATAGATAAAAAAAATACAGAGACACCTGTGGCTTTTGTCTTAGGGTATCTGTGAAGCTCAGAGAGGTCACATTTGAGCTGGGCTTCAAATGTGGCATCTCATATGGCACTGAGTTAGTAAGCAAGAATCTTACAATCAGATAAACAGAGTATCAGAGTATCACAGCCATGCCTACAATGGGCAAAGACATACAGCAGCCAGGCAGAGAGAAGAGAACTCCCACAAAGACAAAATTAAAGACATCAGGGGATAT